TTTAAATACTTTCAGAATATGTAATTAAAAGCTTTCTCAAGTTACATGATGACAACTGGATGAGCATGATTTTCAAGTCCAGGAAGCATTTAGCTATATTTTACCTTTATCAAACCTTATTCAGAAGTTGGTTTGCATTAAAATTAAAAGGATGCAATACTAAAAAGCCCCAAACCCAAGCTATTCATAGCATATGAAGAACAGGACTATTGTAATTTAAGACAATCTGCAAAAACAAAGCATCTTAAGACAGCCTATTTTCTGATCCTTGATATTCACACAGTTCCATCAATCAAAATAAAAAAAATCTAGGTCATCAGTATTTTCAGCCAGGATACAGGAAAAAACCCAGCACATCTTAGGAACCAAAGATTTTCAGCAAAGTATGCAGAATATCTGGTAAAGCTTCTGACAGACTCTTCTGGTAGAACTTCAATCCCCTTCTACTCCACCCCAAATATCGGTTCATTCCAACTTCAATACCTCTTCAGATACCCTGAAGTCGAAAGAAGAAGGGTAAAGCAGTATGCTTCTGCCTTAAAGAGCATCTTGGACTGACAGACATTTTTTATATATTCAGTATTCTAAATTCTATTTTTAGATATACACTTTTCTAAATAGGACTGTTTCACAAGCATCTACCAATACTCAGAAAATAACAGATCTACTACATCGGATTTGCTCAATGTCAGGAAAGATACACTCTCAGAACGAGGATTGTAAACAGCGCATCACATGTATGGTTTATCATCCAAATCTGCCCTTAGAAAGCAACTGTGAAATAAATTGGTATTTTCTTGTCTTTAAATGCAAGAAAAGCATCTCAGCATAGAATCCACTGACATCCATGGACAAGACAAAGAATTTCAGATGTTAGCTGAGACAAAGACACTGCCTTAAATTTTTGTTTCTGGGAAGTCAGTTATACTTCAAGAGATTTGGATAACACCTCAAAAGATAGGGAAGTGATTACCAAGGGTTGTGGGTTCCAGACCTCTGAAAAGAAAGGAGAGCAGGAAAGGAACACCACCCAGGGCTCAGAGCATCTGCCAAGGAGAAAAAGGGGGCTCAGTCAACCCACTTGGACACAGGATGAGACACATCCTCACCCTGGGACCATCACATCAGCCCTTATGAGTAGTGGACTAAGAAGGCCAAGGGATGGAAGCAAAGCCAGACTCTACCCTCCAGGGAGGAGTTAAGAACGTGTACATTGTTATGGTGGTGTACCAGAAGATTTTATGTAGGTAAGAGAGTATTTCAACCAATGAAGTTTCCAGGACAGTTTTATCGCGACACTAATTCTGATATGTTGCCCCTGGGACACCTTCTGGAATAATTTTTTTCATCTGCTGCTGGAAAACACCTCAGACTGTTCTACGCAACCCAACCAACATTCCTAGCTTTTTCATCCACTTGGTCCCTCAATGTCTTCTAGCATTTTGCTAGATAGCCACAGGCAGAAAGTTATTGGTAAACCTGGAAAGATCCGATTTCACCACCAAAAGTCAGTCCTGGGCAAGGACTTCTTTGCTATGTTGCTGTGTGGCCATAATGGAAAGCTTACAGCCCAAGGACAGCAAGAAAACAACCAGATCTTTTCACCAGTTTTATCACCTATTCAGCAGGGTAAGTCGACTACTCACTCTTTCAGTCATTACTCCTTATCACTGGCACGCAACAGAAGTACTGAAATATAATTTGCATCCAAATTCACTTCTGTGGAAGCATCTTCTTTTAGCTCACAGTACCCACTGGTGACATAGAAGTCACACATTAAAAAATAAACACCAACATTCAGGCACGTAGCAGGGGAAAAAGCAAGATGCAGATACACTGACTTGACAGTGGAATAAGACAAGAGTCTCAACAGACCTCAAAGAGGAGCAAAAGGTGGCCAAAAGGAAGAAATGTATTAAGAAAAAAAATATATGAATGCTCACAGAATGTTTAACCTCATTTCTGGCAACAGGGAGGCTGCATTATGAACCATATGCACTACAGAGAGATAGTGTGCTAAAACAGTACTATCATGTTTGCATTAAGATGTGCCAACAAGATTTCTCAAAAAATAAGACAGAAAGAGCTTCTTGCCCTTGACATACAACTCCAGTGAAATTCAAGCAAATCTAGCCTATGCAAAACCAACAGCCCCAGTGTGTTTCAGATGACTTACATGACACCTTGCAGGACTTTCTGAGGATCGAGGTCAAACAATCTATCAACATAGTGGCGGCTACTAGCTGTTACCTCCTGTGGAGAAAAAAAAAAAAAAAGAATTGTAATAGTTTGTATCAGTTCATGTAACAGCAGACAAAAGGAACAGCTAATGCAGCAGCAAGTCTACAGGCAAGAGAGCAACAAACCCACAGAATCATATTTAAATGTGCAGTATGTTACTGCTGGGCAACATCCACACAAAGAACTAACCCTGTGTTTAAGTGTGATTTAAAGAAGATGATGTATTTAAAGTAGATAATATGTTATGAGAGAAAGCAAGATAAGAGAGTGCTCTCACAAAAGGCATTTGCTTCAGTTATCAGCACTACCTTAAATTCCAATTTTATTATGTTTAATTACGATATAGAAAAAACATTAATTCCTGAAAAAGTTTACAAGAGCAGTAAATGTTGCTCAAGAAACATACCCACAAACAAGCTCCCAAAAAAGAGGAAGCTCATATCAAGACGTTTTTTTGAAACTTACTTTATCATATCTATACATTTCAGAGATCATCCTTCTATATACAGTCCCACATGACTTCAACAGGGACAAGAGCATAATATTCCCCGTAACATTCTCATAGCTACTCTATAAGACAGAGTGAACACTCTTCTCAGCAACAGGACCGTGCTTGTAAGCTAAACATTTATGCACCAATGATTTGTTATTCCCTTTAAGAAGATCCAAAGTTGGAGATGGCAAGCGTTCCAAAAAACAAGGGTGGGAAAGAGGAAGGGAATTTTCCCTCCAGGTTCTCAGAAACACGTGCTGGAGTGCGTTCCCATTATCTCACTTTTTTTTTTTCTTCTTTTTGCCCGCTCAACTTTTTTATTAGCTTTTTTCCCCACTTTTTCCGTATGAGTTCTCCTCGAAAGAAGCTATAAAGGAATTGAAAACTCTTCCTCGCTTTTGTAAGTATCTATTCTTGGGCTCAAATCTGCTCCTAGTTCCCCAGCTAGATGTCAGGAGCACCAGCAGCTTCTTACTTGTGGTCTCATAACTCAGAGAAGAATCATCACCTAGAGGCAGCAAGACTCCTTTGTCTCCAGGAATAATACTAAATTATCCCATATAAACTCTGCAGATAAACTTCCACCATGTAATGAAAGACAGTATTTTTGAGAACAGCAGGAGACTTTCATCTACTCGACCTATATATTTATACGCAAAAATCTTCTGGACTTCAGAAATCTCACTGCTTTCTACTTCTAAAATATCCTGGCTTTTACCCTATCAACTATGTAGGAGAAGGGTATTCATATCCAGGCAAACAAGTTTTTCAGGTAGTCCCCAAAAATATTTATCAACATCATCGGTTTCACCGTTCTCTTAGCAAAAAAAAAAAAAAAAAAAAAAAAAAAAGAAAAAGCCCCAAACCTCGCCTCTTTTAAGCGGTATCCACACTACACCTTTTCCATTGTTACTCCCAGCGCACGACTCCGATGAGCAGCAGGGCTGGGCAACCAGCCCCGGCTGTTCTACTTACTCTCAGCTTTCCCCGAGGAAACTCGTGGTAGTTGTCAGACCCCCTTCCCCAACACCAGCGCCCTCCCCACAGATGCAACACATCAGCCTACTCCCTACAGCAGAAGCCAACAAGGCCCTGTCGAGAGGTCCCGAAGAGCTATTACGAGAAGATGAGCGTTTCGCCACCAAAACAACACCCACTCGCTAGCCAAGGCGGGGAGCGCATGCTTCGCCAGCCCCGAGCAGCCCGGTGCGCTTCTGAGAGAGACCCTGTTCTCCTCCGCAGCAGTTTGGTTATTCCAGCTCAAAATAACGTCAACGAACCCTCGTTTTGCTGAATGGGAGTTTTGGAGGGACCAAAAACATTTATAGGAGAACAGCTGAAGAGTGTAAGTCGTGTCATCAGGTAAAAATAAATTCAGAAGAGGCAGCACCTCTACCAAAAATGGGAAGAGACTCCTCAGGAAAGAGGGGAACGCCGTTTTGAAGAGCAAGCCCCCTCCGGGAAGAAGCCGTTGCGTCGGGAAACGGGCGGGGGG